CCACGAGGGCAAATTTCTCCCAATACTTGATTTAGGAGTTCCCTTGTGTTCTACATTGGGTTCAAAATTACAAGGCTTCGGAGTTGAAAATTAGTAGTAGTAAACCCAAAATTGGGTCGGCTGTTCAACGACTGCTATAAAAATAAAAAATAAAATTAAAAAAAATATGTATAAAATATAAAACTAGCGTGTTTTTAAAAAATTGAACGTTGTTTTCTTTATTTACTTTTGTAGGCGATTTTTCCTCTAAAACAGTTGTATTTGTAGAAATCAAAACATCTAATTATCTCTTTAGATAAATCGACGCATCATAAATTGTGTTATTTGTAATAAATCAACTTTTCTCGCTGTTTCTGAATGTGACACAGTGTTATTTTTAAATCTTCTTTTTATTTCATTTCAGTCAAATAGAATGAAGCAATATTTCAACAGAAAAGCAACAACAAACAATGAGAAACAAGTCAAATATAAGAAAAAAACATATCGAATGTGTTTTTGCATCACTGTTTTTATTTTTTTAACAATTCTATTGAAATTCAACTAAAATAATAAACCTTTACAAATGTTGATAGATTCAGCTCTAGAGTTTCAAGTAAAAATCAATAATTTTTGTCTTCATTCTCTAAAATAAAACGCGTAATTGAAGCGAATGCTATGAAAATCTATGATCCCAATATGTATAAGAAGGAAATATTTGCTTGAACTCAATAAAAAGATGGAAAAGACTTTCTACTTATTCTAAAGTAACGAAAACAAAAGAGTTATTTCGAATTGCTATTGAAGAACATTAAATAATTGTTAATTATGTTTTCATTTTTTTTTCATATTCAGTTTTCTAACATTCAGTATTTGTTTTATATCTTGCTTTAATTTCAAAATCGTTTATGTACTGTCACGTTTGGATTTTTCACGTACTAGAACTTATAATAACGTACAAGGTAAATTTGATAATTAATTAATGTAGTCTGATTTTTTATCTTGTCTCGTTTAGACGGTCTTAAACGGTCTTGTTTTAATTTCAAATTCCTTTAAGTACGGTCACGTTTGGAATTTTCACGTACTAGAACTTATAATAACGTACTAGGTAAATAAGATAATTAATTAATGTAGACGGTTTTTAATCTTGTTTTGTTCAGACGATCTTCTTGAAATTTCAAAATCCTTCAAGTACGGTCACGTTTGGATTTTTCACGTACTAGAACTTATAATAACGTACTAGGTAAATAAGATAATTAATTAATGTAGACGGTTTTTGATCTTGTTTTGTTCAGACGGTCTTCTTGTAATTTCAAAATCCTTTAAGTATGGTCACGTTTGGAATTTTCACGTACTACGACTTATGATTACGTACTAGGTAAATATGATAATTAATAAATGCAGACGGTATTTAAAGTAACGAAATAGGACACAATAATGTATTATTCTCTGAATAAACATTCATTTTTTTCGATGGATTAGGATTTCTGACCCCCAAAATATAGCAGCAATCTGTGAAATAGGATCCCCATAGTTTGATCAAGAGGACCAAATTTGGATTCTTGACCCTCAGAATTTGTGGGGTGGCCACAATATGGGGGGGTAGCTCAATTGCTTACGCAAGAGCAGAATGTCTGTCATCTTAAATGTCTTTTAGTGGACCTGTTACTTATCGCTTCTGTTTAAAATCTAATTGATATTCCTCGATATCAGATTCGTTAGAGAAACTGTTCCATATGCCCAGCCATGTCATTATCTCATTTCTTTGTGTTTTGTCAAATCATACGAGTCAGTGAGAGAACACCAGGGCTGATACTAAGTCAATAACAAAAACAAGACTGAATTGGAGAAATTGTGTCTTAAAAATTCGGTAACTCAAAAATCATCCAATTTTGAATAAAAGTCATGAACATTTTACGGGGACCATATTTCCCAGATTGCGGCTACCCCTATATTTTGGGATTCAAATATCCGAATCCATCGAAAAAAGGGTATAGTACACACGCACATTGTACTACATTCAGTCTACGTATATATGTACGCATAATTTATGATAACAATTATTATCTGTCTAAACATATATTATGTATACATGTATATATTATATGTATATGCATATATTATGTAATAATCATGTATGTATTTACAGCCCCCGATCTATGCACCCATATACTTCCAGCTTACCTACTTACCAACACATATAATACCTACGTACATATAATATGTATTGATACAAAGTATTTATTCTATCTATCCCACGTACAATGTATGCGTTTATTTATGCTCGTACATTCAAGATGAGTATGTTGTAACATAAAAATTTACTTTTACTTTCATCGAAAAGAATATGTCTGACAAGGAAGCAATTTATTCGTCAGGTTAAAATCTTTAAGGTTAGCCTCTAAACCAGAGGTCGCCAAAGTGGTCTATATAGACCCCCAAGGGTCTATTTAACAAAAGCAGGGGTCGATCTGAGACAGGGGGGTGAATGGGGGTCGATCCGAATCGGAAGGGTCAATTGTGGGTCGAAAAAAGAAACAGTTCTCAATACGCAAATCACACATACCTAATTAAGTATGTAAAATTTGTGAATTTTTTTTATAATTGACTCAATATCAGTTTCTTTATAAAACATAAATTAATAAACGTATATTTATTGGGGTGAAACAAGTATGTACGTACCACCGCGCAGTGGCACGAACTCAGCGCAGTTTATTTGGACAAGCGCATATGCATATATGCGCTTGTCCAAATGTCACGTGTGACGAGCATTGACGTTACAAATGCAAATATCATACGCAGTTTCAACCATCTTTGCAAACTGTGTTGAATATTTGCAGTGTCATTATTAAAACTTTTATGGTTTTGGATAATTAGTTATTGTTTCGATAAAACCATTCGTTTGGTTTAGATATCAATTTTAGTTATCAATGCACAAAAAAGAAGGTAAGCATTAATGATATGAATTAGTACAGCCCGCGACAAAACTATAGAACACTTTGTATTTTTTTACGAAAATTACAAAATTAACCAATTTTGACGAAAATTAAAATTTACCAATTTTGAACCTAATATAGCGAAGCTTGCAAAAAAGCACCAAGCCCACCCAACCTATTGATCAAGAAGCAGTAAATCTTTAGTTACTTTACTTATTATATCTACTTATGCATAATTACTTATTATTTAATAATAAGGTATTAAATTTCAATATTAATATATTTTTCATAAAACTATTGCTACATAATGTACTATTACTTTAATAAATGTTTAAAATCATAAAATAAATGTACAAACACAGTATCTAATAGAGTTTTATTTTAATTAACAGAAAATTACTTTTGTGGGGGTCGATGGAGATTTCGAAAAATTATGTAGGGGTCGATAATCAAAAAAGTTTGGCGACCCCTGCTCTAAACAATCAACACATCCTGTACGAGGTGTTGTATCACTGACTAAAGGTTTTGTTGTTTCTAGTGCTAGTGGCCAATATCAGCAAATCTTATTAGGAAAACCAAGCGAATTTAAATCAGAGGTTTCCTGTTTTAATTGGAGTTGTTGTTCGCGTTTCTTGTTTTTTATTGGCACTCTATAGCAGTGTTTCTCAAAGTGGGCGATAACGCCCCCTTGGGGGCGTTTGAAACCTAGAGGGGGGCGTTAAGGGGCCCAGAAAAAATGGGGGGCGTTGATGTGGGTTAGGGGGGCGATGTATAATTTGCAATTTCATTTACTTTACATAGTATTTTAAATTTCACTAAAATTAAAACACACCTACTACACAATAACGAATAATTAGTTTATATTTCTACTCTGTATGATGTTATAAAAACTTAAAATACTTAACATAGATTTCGTAGGATAGCCCGCACACCGTACGCAATCAAGTTGTAAGAAGTTTCTGCGGATAGATAAAGGGACATGATCGATGATAGTTAAAAAATTAGAGCATTATTTTAAACATTAGGAAAAAAACTAACATGCAGAGTTTTGAAATATTATACATATGTAAACTAACATAAATTGAAGTTTTCTTTACTTTTTTTCTTGTTTTTAACATAAGGGCAGTTTACAGCATTTTCCTAGCATTTTATTAGAAATTACTGATGTAAGAATCATCATTTTTATATAAAATGGAAATACGTATATAATTAAGATTTCAAAAAATTGTGTTAGAAATTTTTTTATATAATTATCCCATTACCGTCCAGTGTCAAATAGTATAAGTAAGCCTAAACAGTTCACTTATTGTAAACATAGTTTACTATTTCTATATATTTTAAATATGACAAATAATAAAAACGCTGGCTTAGGCGGCGGTTTTCATTTGAACCAGTTCTAAATTATAAACTTATATTCTATGAGAAATTACCCATATTTATCTATAATACGAAATGATATTAATTTATTTTCCGTAGTTAAATAAGTTATTATTGTTAGTAGTATTATTTACTAGTCGAAATATAAAATTTGAATTATCTTGTGATGAGAATCTTATATTATTATGATGATATATTATATCTTATTATGATGAGAATCTTATCTTACATCTTATTTTGTGATGAAATAGGAATTCCGTTTAAGAATATTATATCAGCTGCTACAGATGGTGCTCCAGCTATGACGGGTGTCAAAAAGGCTTCATATCGTACTTAAAAAAGAAAATTCCTGATGTGCTTGCTATACATTGCGTTATACATCGACAGCAATTAGTTGCTAGAAATTTAAGTGAACGACTATTTCAATCATTGTAACATGTCATCAGAGCAGTCAGTAAAATCCTAAATAACTCTTTAAATGACAGATTATTTAATCAGCTTTGTGTTGATAATGATGAAGATTTCAACAGATTGATCTTTCACACAGAAGTGCGTTGGCTATCAAAAGGAAATTGTCTGACTCGTTTTTACAATCTGTTTGACTCTGTCATAGAGTTCTTGGAAAACAAAGACACAGAATTGCGCGAAAACCTCATCACATCAAAGAATGATATCGCATACCTGACAGACCTTTATACATTGCTTAATGATATGAATCTCCAACTTCAAGGCGATGACTTGAACTTAATAAAAACAAAAAATGTCGTCGCTGCTTTCGTAGCCAAGCTGCTCTTACACAAAAAGAATATCGGCAGACGTGAGTTCCATAATTTTCCCAATTTATCAGTATCCTGCAACAACGACGACTTGCTCGTCTACTGCCAACATTTGGAAAATCTTCACAGTGATTTCATTGAAAGATTCCAGGACATTTTGAAATTGGAAATACCAGACTGGGTGTTAGATCCTTTTTCAAATGTCAACATAGCAATATCACCCCAGTTGGAAGAAGAACTTATAGAACTGACAACGAACGAGGAAATAAAAATCAAATACAAAAATGGCTACCAACAATTTTGGCTACAAAAGTCAATTCCGCAGTTGTACCCTGGATTGTGGTCTATCGTTGAACGATTTTTGATAGCATTCCCATCGTCATATTTGTGTGAACGTGGATTTAGCGCTGTGAAAACGCTACAAACCAAACGCGGCGACTTACGACTGTCTTTGGGTAAAATCGAACCTGATATCAACAAACTTATTAAATATCATCAAATTCATCCAGCTCATTAGATTAGTATAAAAACGAAAACTGAATACATATTTATATTGTTTCTTTTAATTTGATTAGAATATATTATTAATATTATAAAGTTGGGTTTTATTTGCTCTCACTGGTAAAAATTTCTAGTTTAGAATGTAAGTTTAAACATCAGAACCGACTAATATGTATAACTAAATTAATTAAAGTAATGAAATTGTGGTTTTTAAGTTTTAGGGGTGCATAAAAAATGGGGGGGGCGCTGAAAAATAATTGATTTTCAAAGGGGGCGGTAAAAGAAATAAGTTTGATAATCACTGCTCTATAGGGTCAAGAATACGACTTCAGCCAGACACACGTCACAGCCCGTTTATAAAGCGGCCGCATTCACACATATATTCATACATTCATCCACAGATAGCAATTTTGACCTGAGGGGACAAGGAGAACTTGTCTCCATGTTATGAGAACGTGGAGAACTTTGTGACTCGACAGATTTAACGAGCACCAGTCACCATTTACAACACGGTCCGGTGGGAATTGAGCTCACGAGCTATTTGATATAGGCCCAACACCCTATAACTAAGTACTATATATATAACGCCTACTATATAGTACTATATATATTATATAGTAATATATATAAAACGCCATGTGGAATAACTTTCGGGAGAACCAATTTTGTCAAAACTTGTTGATTTGTCAAAACTTTGCAATTCTCAAAATGCAACAAATGACTATATAATAGTCATTTTAGTGGAAGATGGACATAAATCGTTCTCCTCCCCCCAGGTCTACAATTAAGGAAATAGGGATTAAAAACAACAAAATTTGCTGGATTTGACTAAAACCATCATAATCTTTCAGATTTTTGGGCAATCAAACAGGTTTGGGTGTTTCAAATCTAGACTTATTCCATAGTAATTCGCCAGATTTGTACAGTAATCATAGAAATTGTATATATTTCTAGAATCCCTCTCAGTCAATCAAAAAAGTATGCCCATTAAGGGTTGCGACTTTATATTTAAGCGAGAAAAAGAATCGAATCAGCCAAATCACTGGTCAGGAAAACTGTATAAAACCAGTTTGATTTCCTGATGTTGAATTATAAATATATCTATGCATTTGAACTCCTATATATTTAATGCAATTATCAAACAGGTTTTTTAATATTATCAGTCAGATAACGTTTATGTTTCTTCCTCGCTTTTTATTCATTTACCGCTTGCAACGTGGATACTGTTTTGATTTAATAGTACTTATCGGTTACACAGGAATCATGAACCGATAATACACATAGGTGTATCAAACACTACATTTCACTATTGCGATAATTAACGATTTCTGGCACTTATCAAATACGATAAAATTACAATCATTAATGATAAAAATAACAATTACAATAATGCTAGGAGGCTTCGCCCCTGCTCGCTGGCGCTCGCCAACCCCCGGAACTGCTTTCGCAGTTCATTTCGGATTGCTTCGCAATCCGATGCTCGCTTTGCTCGCTCACTGGATACGTTCTTAACGTCTAGCTTTTGTATACTTTTTTGAACACTGAAGTTCCGAAAACTTTTCACTGTAGAAAATTCTAAACCTGTGCATTTCAATATTAATTTGAAATTGCAAACAGTTCACATATTTTTCTTAATCACACTATTCTAAATTTCAGTTGTTGAGAAAAGTAACTGTTGTAAGTTTTGTTTTAAAGTCTTTCCCACCAGAGGGCTAAAACCATGTGTTGTAAAACAATATGAAATAGTACTGAACGCCGGATGTAAAGCATCGCCTTCGATGAAGATAATTTTGTGAGAATGTTTTTGATAATTCGGTGAGAATTCACCCGATTAGACATATGATGCTCACTACGTGCTCCTGCGAGCCGAAGCCTATCAATTAAAACGTATTAGCGTTTTATATAGTATAGATTAGCCATATGATGCTCACTACGTGCTTGAAAACTGCTGCCAACGCGAGAAAAGAAATATAATCGGTTTTATTGATACATACGTATTAGCGTTTTATATAATATAGATAGATTGTGATCATTCATGATAATGCATGAAAAAGATAATATCACGAATATAATACCGACAATAACTGTTTTAAACGATGTTATTGTAGTGTATTATTCAACTTTATTTTGATGATAGGGAGATGTCGCTCTTTATATTTTCCGTACGATCTCATACGTAAGATTTTTACTTTACTTTAGTTTTACTTTTACTTTAGATGCTATACGCATCTTTACGTTATGTTGGCGTAATTAACGCTGCAAAGACAAAGCTACAAGCACGCTGTTTATAGCTGTTAAATGCTGTTTTCAGTTTAAACCAAGGGTGCCGGCAGCGGGGTCCAAGAGGGTGCACTTGCACCCCCTGGCTTTTTTTTTTTTTTAACAATTAAGGAGATACAGAAAATCAATTTTGTTATAAAATTTTTTTATTGAAAATACTTTTACTCAAAAACAAATAAGTGTTTGTTGATACATAACAATTAAAAAATTGTTTAATCGAACAAGAATTGCAATCGTCTTGTTTGCTGTCCAAATCTGTTTATAACTTTTTCAATGAATTCTGAATCATCTTTGATTCTTTTCTTATGCACACTGAGCATGCACAAACTTGGCAGATATCTAAGCAATATTTTTAAATTTCATTTAATAAAATATGAATAATATTATATTGTCTATAAGTTATTTAGTTTAACAAAGGTGTATAACACAAACTGACTTCTCACAACTGTAAAAATTCATCAACACAATAAATACCAATGTTAAGCTTGCACAAACACGTTAGTATACGAAACTACTGCTTGTAGTTATTTGTGTTTCAAAGCCAGTAGCTATGCCATCAATACAGTTTCTCGTGGCAAAATTTGCAAGTACAAAAAATTTGTACTTTGTTTTAAATATCTTGTAAACAATGAAGAAATGTATCGTGAAAAAATTAACAGATGAAAGTATATGTAATAACAAAACAAAATGTAATAACAGAATATTAAAATAATAATAATAATTGGGGTCGGGCGGTAGTTTGTTAGAGGGTTGCACCCCCTTTAATATTATTCTGCCGGTGCCCTTGGTTTAAACCTATCTTCGAACTTTAAGCATATTAATAAATATAGTGATGAAATTTAGAAATGAATCGTGTGATATTACGACAATTAGTTGAACAAAGAGATCATCTATGTCCATGTTTGTAGTGGTTTTTCAGTCAAAGTTAAAACGATACTCCACTACATTAGCGTTTCTAACTTTCGGATTTTTTCGAAATCTCTTATTTTTACTTAAGGAAGTTCGATATTTTTTCAACGGCCCATGCGCATTTAACCAGAATTGACGCATGCGCACTAAAGTGCGCATGCGCAATTACTTGAAATCTTACGTACTGCAGCGTACGGGAGCTAACGTAAATTTGCGAAATCTCCCTAATGAAAAAATACACCTACGTATAATTTATATAAGTTTTTAAAAAAAGGATACATCGCGATGTATCGTTAAATATTGATATTTTTTGAGAATACATCGCGATACTACAATATTCGTGATATTTATCATTGGTCATTAAAACCAGTATTCGTGCTGACATAAATTTTAAAAATATATATTAGTCCCCCTATATTAGTCCCCCTATATTAGTCCCTGATATATACATTTAATACGTTCTTTATAGAACTCTCTGCAGAAAATCGCAAGATTTTATGTTTTAAAGTAAAACCGTTCTATTACAATTGTTACTGATATACAATTGAGTTGAAAAAAAAATTCAAATAAATAGGGTTCGTTTAAAATACAATAAGAAAGAGAAAGCAATATTTTACAGTATATTGAATTGATAAAATTCAAACCAGTCTAAAATTATTATTATTTCTTTTGGAAGTTCTTTCGCCTTAGGAAAGAAAAATTGGCAAGCTGCAGATGATGCATCAATAATAAAATTCATGCGTAACAAAGTATTGACTGAAACAATTTAAAAACTGACTCGACTGAAAAGAGAGAATAAAGTAAACGATTTTTATCCCCTTCTTAAATTGGGAAAAAAAAGAAATGAAAAAAGATATATGCAAATCATTAAATTTATTTATTTGTCACTCGCGTTTCATAACCGACACTGCGATAAAATAGAAAATAATTTAATATTTAAAGTTTTTAAAACAGTCCTTATTTATAAATTTTCAAATTTAAATATTAAATTATTATTTGTGTGCAGTACTATATTTTATTTCATATTTTATAACCGTCGTTGAACAGGCGACCCATTTTTCAGTTTACGATCAGCAATGTTCGACTCCGCATCTTTGTAATTTTGAATTTATTCCAAAAGACAAGGGAACTCCTAGATCTAGTATTGGGAGAAATTTGCCCCCGTGGAGGACTTTTCGATGGAACTAATGCACATTTGCTTTACGTGGAGAGAAAAACCAAGAAAACCTCCCACGATTAGCCTGACGACAAGGGGACTCAAACCCATGATCCTCGTATCAAAGATGGCAACAAGTATGAATTTTTGGTTTAATACCATTCCAAATTTCTATCAGTGTAGTTAACAGCTGATTTGCATGTTTCTATTTCTATTAAGGTCCAAAGATAAATCCTAAGAGCCGTGGCTTATGGGTGTATGTTTTGTTAAAATTATATTCTCTCTGTTTGGGTTCATACTCATAACAATAATTTTGTTTAAAAATTGAAAATTTAAAATAATGAAAAAAATAAAAACAATTAATGTAAGAAATAATATTTAAAATAATAAATAATAATAATTAATATAATAATTAATAATTTAAATATGTGAAATAATAATTAAAATAATAAAAGTAATTTCAGAACATATATAATTATTTGTACTTTTATCTGTTGTATAGATTTATGAAAATTTACACCTGAAGGAAATTCTTTTAAATATTTTGTAGAATTTTTCACTGCTTGGAGAAAAATTTGATGTTGTGAAAAAAACTCAAAGAATTTTATTGAATTCCTTTCGGTTGCAAAAAACGAGCGTATAAAGATGTTTTATATTGAAAACAAACTGAC